CAGACTGCAATACTGCTGAGCCGACGAGCCAAACTTTGTGTCTACTTCAGTATTTTACACAATCGGAGTGAAATCACGCTTGACATCAGACTGTTACGCCACTGACCCTCGGCTGAAGAAACGCCATCAAACGCAGGAAAAGTGACTCACAACACAGCACTGAACTATGAGACCCGTGCTGTTTATATTAAAGAGTTTAAATTATAGATGCATAAGTAAAACATTCTTAAGACCATTATTTACACCAGAATTTCATGACAATTAAACACATTTAACCTCACAAAGAACATAATTCAGACATTCAAGGGTTTCACACTTTCACAACATCACGTTACACAAACAGAATAAACCGAAAGATCAAACACTAACACACACACTCATTCACTCACCACACACACACACTCTCTCTCACACACACACACAAATACACTCACACACACACACTCTCTCTCACCCGTGTTTGAGGGCAAGTTTAACAAAGCCCTTGCGCTGCAGCAGCTGAAGGGTTAAGGCCCCCGGTCGAGCGTCCAGTGATTCTGGAGCTCCGCCCACCGCGATCACAGCCGCCTGACCTCCACCTGGACGACTCAGCAGGTAACTCGCACTGGCCTTCTCGCTCGACACCAGCCCTGCAGAGGTCAGAGGTCAGACACAGAGTACTGTCAGAGAAGAGTTCACACACACCTTCCCTACTCAACAACACAAGTCACACTGTTCATAAACTGAAGGTGCGAGTCACGCTCTTCATGAACTCAGTAATCGAAAGCAGACCAGACACTCGTTCTGTTCAGCGCACCAATCTCCAAGCAGGAGCAAAAAGTGAACAGACTGCAATACTGCTGAGCCGACGAGCCAAACTTTGTGTCTACTTCAGTATTTTACACAATCGGAGTGAAATCACGCTTGACATCAGACTGTTACGCCACTGACCCTCGGCTGAAGAAACGCCATCAAACGCAGGAAAAGTGACTCACAACACAGCACTGAACTATGAGACCCGTGCTGTTTATATTAAAGAGTTTAAATTACAGATGCATAAGTAAAACATTCTTAAGACCATTATTTACACCAGAATTTCATGACAATTAAACACATTTAACCTCACAAAGAACATAATTCAGACATTCAAGGGTTTCACACTTTCACAACATCACGTTACACAAACAGAATAAACCGAAAGATCAAACACTAACACACACACTCATTCACTCACTCACACCCCTAACTCTCTCACACACACACGCACACTCACTCACACCCCTAACTCACACACACACACACTCACTCAGACACACACACTCATTCACTCACACCCCTAACTCTCTCACACACACACACACACACTCACACTCACACCCCTAACTCACACACACACACACTCATTCACTCACTCACACCCCTAACTCTCTCACACACACACGCACACTCACTCACACCCCTAACTCACACACACACACACTCACTCAGACACACACACTCATTCACTCACACCCCTAACTCTCTCACACACACACACACACACACTCAGACACACTCACACTCACACCCTTAACTCTCACACACACACGCACACTCACTCACACCCCTAACTCACATACACACTCACTCAGACACACACACACTCATTCACTCACTCACTCACACCCCTAACTCTCACACACACACACTCACACACTCAGACACACACTCATTCACTCACTCACTCACTCACACACAGACTCACTCAGACACACACTCACTCACACCCCTAACTCAGACACAAACGCACACTCACTCACTCACACACACACATTCTCACACACTCACTCAGACACACACTCATTCCCTCACTCACTCACTCACACGCACACTCACACTCACTCACTCACTCAC